AGGTTCTGATATTTATGCAGATACATAATATCAAGTCACGCAAGGTAGCCTTGTCTTGAATAAAATGATGCCTCACACCTCTTTTCAGGGCACTCTACAACCAGAAGTCATATTCCAAAGTGCCGCATTAACGATGGATTATCTGTAGCCAACCCATGTCAAACAGCGGACATGGGAAGAGATAAGGTAGATTATAAAACACATCATAAGCCATTTGAATCAACATACGGCGCGCATTCCGCCACAGGTGATGATACACGATTGTGTAATAAAGTCATAGCAGACAGGAAGTGAAACACACAGTGAGAGTTTGGTCATTCTGACTACCTGGCTTAACATAGGTTAGTATGAACGTTAGAAGCAGTAGGAAAGCACTCCAGCGATGCGTGACTCGGGATCCAAATTCCCCAAGAAAACTCAAAAATCCTTGACATAACACAAAGAACACAGGCACAACATCAGTCCGAACAGCTCTAAAGTCTGTGGTTCGATTCAAGCCATCTTTGAAACATTTGTGGAGGGCCTCGGTGTGAAGGCTGCCCTGTGTGTGATCGTCCAGTCTTTTCACTGGCATTGAGGAGTCGTGATGTGGGATATCTGACGTGTATATAGCCTTGTGGGGTATATGGTGAGAGAAACAGTGATGGTATAGTGTCACAATGGTGAATGGCACGGCTCCTACACTATGTGCATCAGATATGCGCCTTACTCAGCCATTGATTGTAGATCGTAGTATAGAACATAAAAGTTTTCTGAGGTGTAAACTATTTTTCACAGTCGGGCCAGTCAACAACATAGCCATTGCGATTATAAACAGCCTATGGAGTAAAATGACGAGGCAAAGGCGTGAATGCGTCGTGCACTCGACTGGTGACTGCTGTGATGTTGAGTCTTGTTGAGATGATGCTGATGCTTCAGAGATGTGAATGATTCTGGCAATTTCTCGACATGTAGACTCCATCAGAATACAGGTAATAATGACCAATAAAAGTGGGAGGGGAGGATGGCCATGAAGTAAAGTTGATCATTGTGTATATGCATTCCTTTGAGAGTTTACCACTAATGCAAAATGACATGAACATGGAATCACGTGGTAACAAATTGACTGATGACAAATAGTAGTCATTCATAATGCAAGGTGTACGGAAGACAAGCACTGTGATTGTGATGTACTGAATATAAATATGTACTTGTTCATAACATCCGATGCTTACAAACTGCGCAGAATATGAATAACCAAAAAGAGGGCCAGACGGTAACATCTAGGTGAAATATATTGTACATAAACACACCAGGTGTTGTCGGAATTACCTTAGAGCTTATATAACATGACAGTATACCCCAAGGAATGTGTGGACACGTAGCACACTCACATCATACTGATAGAGAACTGGACCCTTTCCATCCTACATCGCTCCACACAGCAAACCTTTTCTGTTGTAAGTCGCCGCATTACGTCGTCCAATATGTCAGGATCAGGCATCACAGTGTGCAGTCTGTCCTTTTCATTGTCAACATGACTGTAAGGGCAAGTCCCAATATAGTACTTGTCTTCTCTCCACCAGCGTAGCACAGTATCCTTCAATTATCCTTGCTGTTTGATGGCACGACACAGCTAAGAAGTTCCCACAGCGACATTTGTCCTCATTGAAGTGGAACCAATTGGACAACTTGTGTTGTTACCAGCAAACACATCATTGACCATAGTAAGGAGACATAAAGCACCAGATATGAGAATAGACATCATCTGACCGACAAAAGTATCTTATGAGACAATCTCAAGAAAACCATTTATTTATTGTCTGTAGGTAGTAGAGTGCCTCAACATTGTGGGACATGCCACAGCTGAATGCAAAATGTCGACTTCGCACTATAGCGATTGCGCATGCGCAAAACTGCATGGCGTGAAAGACGTCTTCATAGGTGATACTATAGAGCCGCAAGCTACTCCCTACAGGGATTGAAATCAACCATATTTCAGTATTAAAATAGCATGAGCAACCTACGTACATGTATAGCAAAAAACTCAACAAAGTAAAAAGCACAGCAGCAACACTGGTTTTGTCATGCTTATGTTGGATGGTGTCACTGTTCTGCCTCAAAGTCTTTCGTGCACTATGGTTCTTGTATCCCAGTGCACCGACACTACCATTGCTGTTCTCCTCGGGGATGGTCGTGGGTGAGCATTGTAGCCTTGCTGCTTCCCGCTGGAGATGCATCTCCTCAGCTCACTCTGGAGACTCCTCGGACAGCAAATGTACAGCTTCTCGTCTCCCTTCTGGAGAATGACCTCCAGATAGGCCCCGCTCTGCACCATACTCCTGTGCACCTCTGAGCACCTGGAAAAACAACCGATGCCGTCAGCTACACTCAGTGTCTGAGGAATCTTGCAGGTTTACAAGACAAATACTTTCAGTTTGCACAGTTGTTTCCATTGCTTTGAACTGATCACTATTGTAGCTACATAATGTACCTCTGGCAGTTGACAGTAATGTTTGAAGGCAGCTCAGCCACTCTCTCTGTGACTCCAAACACCGCCTGGCAGTTGCTGCACTGCAATCAAGAAAAGCAAACTCATGTCTATCTATTAGTTTCAGTAAAACCTTCCGAGCATTAGGAGAGTTTGCCAACTTTTCTTCGCAGACTCGTGCAGCACATCTATAAGGACAGTACAACACGAACAAAAAGGGGAAACATGGTAGAGCTACACATGGACATACCTTTCACATCGCTTCTTTTTATCATGTCCACTTGTGATCTCTTGGGAGATGGTGAACACTCGACCACAGTCATCACACACTACACACGTTCCCACTGTCTTGGCCTGGGATAGTGAGCTGCTGCGACCTCCCATTCTCTGGCGACTGAAGGCTATACCCATCTGCAGGTCTGCACGACTTGCCAGAGGCTAGAACTGGAGCTACACTGAGGGGAGTAGCTAGGGTTCGTCTGAGTGAGTCAGATTGGGAGGAGTGGAGGCAGGTGTAGTGTCCATATGGCCGGTGATTGATCCCACACCAACTACAGTGTTCAGAGACACCATAACACTGTAATGGAGTGAGTCCACGCAATTGTTTCTTGCAGGATACAGCTACTTCATGGCATGAACATATGCAGCACTTTATTTCCTGTAACTAGTTGTCTTCACTCGTATATATACATTGATGTACAAGCATTCAAACATCATGTCTTAAATCCTCATGCAAAAAACTGTCACATAAGAATACTCCCACCAAAACACATGTGCACACTGAGAATCCATAATTATACATGATTAAAACACTCTAGCTCTCTTGTGGTTGACTATAATAGCTAGGAGTTGACATTAGCAACCATACTCCTGGTTTCTGCCACTCTCGTAGTGTAATTGCCAGGGGCAACCCCTCTTCTTGTATGTTGATTATGTCATTCAACCATAACTGATCTTTAGGTCCATACACTGGGTTTTCTCCTTTGTAATTAATCACATGATTAAGCAGGGTCTCCCCATTGACAGTTGAGACGACTCTTAGTGTCTGCACACTGCTCGTGTACACAACAGAAAATAGAGAGCCAACTGCAATGATGTCAGAGTTTTTGGGAAATTGAATTCCTCTTCTTTTATACTGACACAGCTCTAAGGTGTCTAGGTTCCAAGCAAATATGTCGCCGTTGACGGGATAAGCAGCGAATCTCCCGTCACACGAGAGGCAGAATTCATGGCCCAGTACTGAGGGTGTACAGTAGTAAGAGTGGTCGTCGAATGGGCAGAGAGCACACAGGTTCTCCACAATCACTCTCTCTGTGCCACTGTTATCAGGAGGCTCTATGTCCATACTAAAGATGCAAATGGTTGCTCCAAACTGGATCAATAGCTTGTGTCTGGAGCAAAACCCATCCTCGCAAGAGTTACAAGAAAAAGACGTCATAACCACCTTGTGTATCTGAAAGAAAACGCCGTTATAGTGAGACTCAAACGGGAGAAACGGAAAAGAAGTTTTCAGTTTGTGAGGCTCTTCCCTGCCCTCCACTAGACGGCATACGAGCAAGTCCCACCACTTTTCTTCTCGAGCAGCCCTGCTCCACACCCCAACCAGACAGCACTGGGGGCAGCAGGCCAGGTCATAGTAGGCCAGACTGTAGACAGAATCCCTCCAGGTGGCACTGCGTACCTCGCAGGCCTCTCTAGACAGGATCCTGGTCTTTATCCACGTCCCATCGCTCCCGTGGATGAGGACGTGCCTGGGAGAGGAGGCAGACCACAAGACAACAAACACGTGAGACACTGTCATGCTAGTCAGCTCCACCAAGTCCCCCGACTGGTCCAGAGCCCGTATCGAGAGGACATACGTCCCCACGTCGGAGCTGGCGTATACATCGTGGCTTATGAACAGACCGTTCCAAGAGGGTAGGGCAGGACGACAGGAGAGGGTGGCCTTTGGCAGTTTCCTAGTCTTGTCAGGATATTGCCACAAGACGGACTTTGAACAAGCAAGGGATTTCCTAACTTTGAGCAGAGCCACGGCCAGTGCTTTATACGTGATGTATCTGTCTACCAGTTCTGATAGGAAGGAGGGAAAGAGGCCTAGAGAAAGGGTGTAGTTCTTCCAGAATGCCTGACAATTTGTGATGATCTTGAGCCAGGATCGGGACACTAACAGGCAGCGGAACACGTCCCGGGCTTCCAAGAAGCGGAGGATATGCCCTACAATCTCTGGCGGGAGGAGAGACACGAAGTCTCGCTGTAGGAACATCGGGAGGCGGTCCTCCAGAAGACACACCTGCTGTCTGTGGGAACAGCGCGAGAACAACTCGCACATCAACTCCACCAGCTGGTCCTCTCCTAGATCGTCCACGACAGAGGTGCTCATCATCGAGTCTTTAAACGCCATTTTAGTCTATATACACCACGAGCGGTTCTCTCCTCGAAAGAGCGTGTCCACGCCTATTAATTCGCGCATGCGCAAAAAGAGTTCGCTGATAAACAAAGCGGGGCAAGGAGGCGGGGCTAGTGATAACTCTTTTTTTCCGTGTGGAGGCTGGTTGATTGATGAATGTGTGGATGGGCACCAATGAAGGCGTCTGTTAGGCTGATTCTAGCGGTGTGCTGCGTGTACACCGTCCTGTCTGGGTTCCCAAGAGGCGAGGGATTGTCGGACGAGCTCTCCCTGTGTGCCGTGGCTCTCAACCACTCTGTCAACACCTCCAATACCTCCGACTACTTCAGCCTCTCGAAGTGTACGTGTATATACCATAGATACGATTCCGCCCTTCCCTGTCAAGGAGGGTGCTGTGCGCGCGTTTTTCATCGTACATCCGTACCGTTGAATGACCATCATCATGCAACGCGGCCTTCGCAGCCTGTGTGTTTCTCAGTGTTCAAACCCATGTACAACTAACGGAGACCAGCCTGTCTACGTTATTCTCTTGTACGTGTACACCGTAGGTGCATGTGCTCTAGTCTGTGGCGGGCTACAAGGGCCCATTGACTCCTGATGTGTATTCCCAGTCCTGTACTGTGTAACTCCCTCTGTCCCTGTGTGCGTTTTCCTACACGATGTATGTGAGAACACGCTGCTCTCAATCTGCTGCCTTTTTGAGTCCCAGTGTGTTTCTTATTGAGTCAGAGTGTATGGCAGTGTTCCTGGTGTTGTTTTGCATGTTGGACTACTGGCATATCGTATGATTTACGGAATATGTACATAGCAGAGCTATGTACAGAGCTATATGTACATTAGTGGGGACCTTCCATGCTTTTAGCAAATCTAATCCTCATTCCCAGTGGGGAGATAGTAATGAATGGTTATGAAACTATATACAGACAGACATTCAAGTGAAAAACCTTTCATAGTTTACGAACCACTGCAAAGTTTTGTAGACAGAGACTTTTCTTTTTCGCGACCAGCAATTTGCCAGTGTTTCTCACTGGGTAATTTTCTTCAAATATTTTAATAAGCTCACAAGCATACTGTCATATATAGTACTATCCCACCCCGTTGGTGGTGGTAGCAATATTAGTGTACTATTCTTTGTAACGTAAGATCACAGCTACGTACAACTTTTGCTAATAATAATATCTCCACTAGTCGGTGATACAGCTCAGTTACACACACACTGTCTGTGTTTCATGGGGAGTAAGAGAGGGAATCCAGTAGGCTGCCACCAAGACAGGAAGACCACTATAATTATGGTGTACTCCAGTATGAACCTAGTGGAGGTTGGGGGCAACCAACACAGGGAAAGCAATTTGGAAAAGAGCTTGAGTCTGACTCTGGGCCGAGTGCATGTATGAAAACCACAGCTACTGCTGTGCGTATAACGTAGCAATGGCTCTCATCATAAACTGGACCGGTATTTAAAGAATGTTACGTAGATGAGTCCTAATAGCAGGTAAATTGTTCCTCCGCCACATGTTATGTCCACACATGGAAACGTTTGAAGTGTACATATATAGTGTGTGTGAGAATTAACATAGTAATATTCCCTCTCTGATCCTCCTACGGTCGTTTCACTGTAGGCATGTGCCTGATGTCACTATACGTAGTGTTCTTTCTATTGTTTTCTTTCATTAGTAGCATGTGTCCCTATGCTTTCATCCAACTCCATATGCACACCACTCATCTGTACACATACACATGTACATAATAATAGTGATGTAAGGATGGCCCATTGTGGGCCTGATTCATTCACATGAACCCTTGATGTACGGTACAACTACAACTTATTCTTTTCTCAATGTCCTTTTACAAATTAGTATGAGGGTATAGCTAGGTGACCAAATATGTAGATGTAACTCCCTTCAATGTTGCTTGGAGTATGGCGTTAGCTTTAAGTTGGCTTGAAGTATGCCACACTGATCCCATTAACAAAAAAAGACAGAAACACTTTGTTTTCACTGCACACACACACGCACACTGTATCCCTCCCCTCAGCTGTGTGCAGAGGGGATGACTACTACACAGGCTGCATGGACTACCAGGGGACAGTCTTCATAGAGTCAGACTCTGTTTCCCACACCGGGGCCTCCTCCGTCATACGGGTGGCCATTAACCCCAACGCCACTGCCGGCCAGGAAGAATTCTACTACACATTCTGCGTCTCGTACAACGAGTCCTTGACGTACGAGCTGGTGGCGTGTGCCAGTAACGAGGGGGAGGAGTTACAGATCCAGCACACCTGGGAGAAGAACGGGCTGGCCCAGGTGAGGGTGGGTGTCTTCCCCAACTACTACCACGGAGAGCCCTGGGCTGCAATGCCACCAGCACCATCGTGGCAGGTATGTATATACTTACCATGTAGCCACAAGACTACTTACATACTAGTCAAAATACTGAATTATACGGGCTAGACTTGAAACGGCATACATATTCATAGTCTAGGCACAAGGCAACACTACATCAAAGCCTCTTTCTCAGTTTGGTTGTGGTATGTGCCTTGAACTTAATGTGCAAACTCCCACGGTGCATGATATAGAGGGGCGACTAAAGTGCCTTCAGCAAGATATTGCATTATTAGTTTCATGTCACCTTCACTCGGAAGTGTTTTTTTGTCCTATTTATTCACTATTGACGAGACACAAATTGGACCACGTGTTTTTGGGTGTAGTGGGTACAATATTATACCCTGTGTGTATATATATATATATATATATGTTGCAGTGCCCAGACAGGACAGCATGGCGAATGCTGTCCTGTCTGGGTACTGCAACAGATTTGTTGGATATCCCTAGGCAAATGACATGTATTAACCCAGATAATTATATGAGCCCTTTTAGATATCCCTAGGCAAATGACATGTATGAACCCTGCTTGCACATGTAGGATTGTATAGGCTGATAAAATCCCCCAGTACCTAGCTTCATACATGTCGGTTGCCTAGTGATATCCAACAAATACACATGCACACTGTTGTAATCATTTCCTCGTCGTCGGTACTGTCAAGGCCCTTTTTAGGGAGCAAATTGTCATTGCACCTCACTGTGTGTTTGATTGCCCCGTGAATGGCTGTGTCAATCACACTACTGTTCTTTGACCGCAGGGAACTTTGGTCTAAAGCTTGGCATGAAGCTGCATAATGACAAACAAACTTTTTCCAAGAACCCGCCCCCTTTCTCCTCCTCCTTCCCCTCCTCCATCCCCTCACCCGTCACCAACAGCACCAACAACTCTTACGTCACCGGGAACCTGACCTTTGAACCTATAACAGAGTTGACAATGGGAAGCAGCAGTTCCAGTGACCAGACGACATACCGCTATATTTTCATCTATGATTACGGGGACAACTCGTCGTTGGAGAGATTTCATATTTCAACTCGTCCCATCTCTACGAACGGCCCGGCAACTACTCTTATGCAGTGGAGGGTTTTGCCGTCTACAGTAAAGACAATATCAAAGCCTACTATGGTCTGCACACGGCATTATAACTATACCTAGGTGAGACTGTAATGTGTATATACTTATGGATGGTGGTCATTAACTGATGGTAGCAGTGGTAAACATGTATTGTAGGTACCACATGAGATCCTAGAGCTGGTGCCCTATTTTTGCTTACATTCTAACACCGACTTCACCCATTTTGTTTTACGCTACTGCTCACCAAAGATATTAGCACAGTGTCGAAATGCATCAATAAGCATGTCTCCAAACTGTCCATGGACATTAGTGGAAAACTCATCGCAATTTACTATGCATGGAGGGAAATGTAAACACAAGCAGTCCTGTTAGTGTATGTCTACTCTACGCTGAAGTAGAACGATGAGCCAGGAGGTGTACAGCTACTGCTAGGTGCTGTGTATCTCTGTTATCCCAACCCGTGTGCCAACCTGAGCGTTCGATTCAACAACAACAACTCCATCGTAGCAGACACTAAGGTCTACCTACACATCTGTGCCAATGGAAGGTCAGCTGAGCACACCCACAGTCCAGTTCTCTACTGTGCATGTCCTGTACATACATACGTAATGTATGCGTGCTGGTATGGGATCCATCGGAAGTCAGTATAAAGATAAAGTGTTGTGTATGCGAGAAGGAGGAAACAGGTTTTCGGGATTGTCATAGACTGCTACGTAGTAACCAGATTTCTCCTTAAGGTTTTCCACAGCACTTTAGGCATTCATTGACTCATTACCACAACTGTCTCCTGCAGTTTCCCCATCTCTGTGTGCTGGACGGTGCAGCCAGTCAACAGCAGTAGTAACTCCTCAAACCCCATCACCACCTCCCAGTGCCCCTCATCCTCCAATAACATCGCCACCTGTCACCCATCTCGCGGGAGTACCCTGTCCCAGCTACGAGATGAGTTTCTCTGAAAAGGGCCGCTACGACATGATTGTCACCTTTTCCAACAAAGTCAGCTGCTCTCGCTGTGGTATACACCTTCCATGTGGTGGCTGGTGAGTATGTATATAGCTATATACGGTATTATGGTAGTGTGCCAACCTTTATTGCACACACTGTGGTATGTGGAAAAATTACTCGGTCTGCAGTATAAATAGTTTTTGTGTTCGTGATTTCAAGGCTAAATAATTTGTCAATCAAAAAAGAGCTACATCTCGAAAATACCGGCGGTGTTATTTCCTTTTTTAGCCCCACTGCGGTCTTTTAGGGCGTGTATATACATAATGGCAATGACTGTTGCTATTTCTTCTTGGAGTGAAAATGTTCTCTCTCTAAATAAGGAGTGTGTGAATGCATGATGTATATACAAGTTCTGTACATAATCTAAGCACGTAAGCACTGGCACGGATATGAATGGCACATTCACAAAAACACAGGGCAATTAACGTAGCATAAAGGGTGTGGGGTAAATTTTGCCTCTCTCTTTCTTCACTGTCTCTTTCAGCTGCGAAGCCTCCGATAGTGGCGACGACGACCAGTGTGGGAGTGGTGCTGGCCATAGCTCTGGCTGTGGTGGTGGTACTTGTCATTCTGGCTGTTGGAGGATACCTCCCTTACAGGTCAGCTACTCCACAATGTCTGTCCACTGGGACATTGATTGACCCACTATACCAGCAGAGTGTATAGTTGAACTGTTGGTGTGTATTGATTGGTTTTAAGAGAAAACTTTGAGCTTTTGAAGATAAGACTTTGACAGGCTTTACCACCTCTGTACGCATTACACACATTCACAGCAAGTTTACCACTGTACTATAGTGCGCGTACTTGACACTGTCAGATAATATGGGTGGATGGACACTTTAATCTACTTTTGGCCTACACATTCTTTGAAGGCAGGCATAGCCCTTATTGGGATAACATTTGTGTTGTGATTATCACTAATGGGCATACCTTCGCACTACAGCATGCACCATAAGGACAGGCTGCCTATGGGGTGACAGTGCCTGTAATATTAAGGCTAAGACAGGCGCGGTTGACAGGAAAGACTGTCTGGTTATCTGTAATAAATTTGCCTCGTGTCATTGCCTCTCTGAACACAGTCACACACAGTTCATTATTCTATCCAGCCAACCAGTGTAAGGCTATGTATGGACATCCAGTTGTGTGTTTTTTCCTTCATTGCAGGCGCTACCGGAACCACATGATAGAAACGGCAGACTCAAATTCATTGACCTCTCGGAGAGGAATGTGTCAGCGTGGAGCAGATTCAAGCAGAAGATACGCGGGTGGTTCACTCCGCGGGGAACACTGATAAGATAGGTCTGGTGAACCTTATAGACGAGCCACGCCGAGCTTCTGGCAGTAGCAACAGCTCCACCTCCTCCTCTTCATCATTAGGCTCCTATAATAATTACAATACTGTCTAGTGCACGCACCCCACAGTCGTCATGGTTTCTCCACTGTGTGTGTGTGTGTTAATGTGAGGTGCCCCTGTAATATGTCTGTTGGTGATGTCTGTGTGAATGGTGCCTATGTGATTTTCATGTGATTTTGTAGTATTCTTGTTGTTATGTTGCTGTTCTTTTCATGCACTGCATATTAAATATATGTATGTAGTATGTGCTTTTTGATCACTGCATTCAATATTACAAAACCTACCAAAAATATTGCGCAAATTTGTAGAAAGTCATAATTATTATGTGCTAATGCATGTAACATAATGTGTATATATAGGAAAGAGGAATGTTGTGTGCACAACTGAAGCATAAGTATATGTGTTGTACAGTGGTAAAGTGATACTGAATGTGATGGACTCGCTAAGTGATGGAATTGCTCTTTACGGCACACTGTACATATGTACATAACATGTATATCATTCTAGAGTGGTGGGAAATGCTACTAGGCACACTTCCAGAGACAGATGGCAGTGTTCCCGCCAAAGAACAGGTAGAGAAGGTTCTTGCAGTCGTAGGCAATCTCGAAACCAAACCCCATCCCCACCACCGCATGCCACGTGGCTCCAAACTTCTTGTCCATCGTCTCCTTTATCATCTTTGCTGCACCCTGCACACATACCACACAACCAATAGGGATCTCAACGTACTGTATAGCAAGTTGAAAGCTAATTGACAGGCTATCCAAAAAAGAGGAGTGTCTGCAATAATTACTGGCTATAGAGAGGTCTACACAATAGCCATTGTTTTTGTGGTCGTCATGGTAATACACATGTGGCACCAAGTTCTCCATGCAGCTGTTGAAGTGCTAACCTCATTGCTGCTGGCATGTTTCTCACATGCAGTGACACACAGCTCCATAGCTTCCAGCCTCATCTCCTCGTTCATGTCAGAATACTGAGGACATACGCATACACTTGCAACTTTAGAGGGCTAATTGCTGGGCTTACTCTAATGAGAGGAAAGTTGTGCAGCTTTCTGTTGTAGAATCCTAGGTCTGACTCCTCGCCGCCAGTTGCCGCCGCAGTAGTCTCCCCTGCAGTCCCGGTACCACCCTCTCCACCGCCTCCTGCCTCTTCAGCCATGGCTGCCGGCTAACTCTGATGGTGGTCGGGCTGTCGGAGATGGGTGAAGGGTTGTTATGGCGGGCACTAAATAGAAAGCAGAGCCGAAAATGACGAGCGAGTGAGTTCCGTTACGAAGTACACAACGGTCATTCTAACCTTATACGAATAGCTGTATATTTCAGGCTCTTGCAAGCAAACACCCAACAGCCAACGGTGCACGGATCCGGACTGTGGATCGAGGTGTATTCGTTTCTATGGTTACTAGCAGAAGGGGCGGGGGGAAGCGGAAGCGGGCGAGCTGATTTGCGCTTATAGACAAGCGCGCTCTGCGTAATACATCTTGCATAATTATTTATGGCACATCCAGGTGAGAATTTGCATACACCATACAGTGTTTGCTGGCATTCAAACGTAGGACCTGCAACAGTGGAGGGTGTGGAGGAGGGTGAGGAGGGAGGTAGTGAGGCAGAGAGTGAGGGAGGAGAGGAGGAAGGGGAGGACAAAAGACTGTCTCCTGACGAGTGTGCTAAGAGGAGAAAGTGGGAGAGGTATACACGACTTCTGGTGTGTCGTAGTACCATTGTTTTAGCTTTACCCACCAGAAGACAAAGGTGTGTTGCGTCTCTGTGTGACAGTGTGTCTGTGTGTGTGACACTGTGTTGTACTGCAATGATAGTGTAGTGTGTCCTATGCAGGGAGCAGGAGGAGCTGAAGGAGAGACTGGAGGTGGAGGATGGGGAGGAGGTGGCCAGCTGGGAGGGGGACACGCTCCCATTTGCTCGTCTCACCACCACTGCTGGGGTGGACATCTCATTTGACAAGGCTCACCCTGACCACGCATGTGCCATGTTGACTGTACTCACCTACCCTCAGTTGAAGGTATTACATACTCTGTATGATACTCTACATGAGTACATATATCATGTACATACAGCTGTAGGAAATTGAGAGAGGGAAGGAAAAAATTACTAGGGGCCCAACTCGGGTCCTTCTCAATTGGTGAAGCTTTTAGTTTCGTTGTGGGCTGTATCAGCAAAGAAATGACCCATGGCTTGTTTTGGCAGTGTACGGTAATTTCACCGGCCATAGACCCTAACTTACTGTGCCCTCCACTATGGCCATTGTGTGTAAAACTAAAGAATCAATCATGTTCTAAGCCCCTGTCTATGTACAATATCAGGTGGGTGCATGAGAGCAGAGCAGTGTGGAGATGAGAGCGCCTTACATCCCAGGGTTATGCCTAGGTTATCATTTTCCACCACTTACCAAAAAAAATCTTTCATGTCCATAATGTCATTGACTTGATGTTATTTCTTTCACCTCTTTCCAAACGACGAAATGGCCGACACAATAATTGACACACATTGCTCCAGTCATGCACAACAGAGACCATGATGCCTCACAGCTGACAGTTTCCACCTGGAGTGACACTGGAGTCCCTGTCCTCACCTCCGTGGCAAAGTGCTCACAGTTGGCAAAGAGCAAGTTGTAGTATTCACCGATACGCTGTCTTGCTCTCTCAATGACTCTTGTTGGTTGGTAGGGACTATATTAGACCATGCGGATGATCTTTGTGTGGTGTGTCATAAATGTCTTCCTCTAACAATCTGCCGGTTGCTGCTTCCTCTTGTGGATGACTGTAATAGTGTTGCAGCTCACCACATTCACCACTATCATGTGGTGGTCGTACAAGCGTTCATTCACCTTGATGTGGTCCCCTGGCTTTAGTTCATCCAGACGAGTGATAGTCGCCTCAGTCCTAGAACTGCTGGCACCCATATTCAAAATAGCTCCGTCACATATGCCGCAACTGCTGGCTGAATTTATGGTTAGCAATATTAGGTACATTACCCAGGGGTTCACACCCATGTCCCTATGAGGGGTCCCCTTGAGGTTACTAGATAGCGTGCCTCATGTCCTGGAGCACAGACCCTCCTAAATACCACACCATCTTGGAATTGGGGTTGGCCCGCAACATTTTGCCCCCACCCCCCTCTCGAAAGTGTGTGTGCTAAAGAAATGAGCGGTTATGCATGCAGAGGGTGAGTGTTGTCATGATCATCTTCTGAATCAGAGTCTGAATCTCTCTTCTTCCTGCTGCTCCCACTGAAGGCATACCACAGACCAGCGACAGCCATCGCATTCCAACTGCAGCACCCGCCTCTAACCTTCACTGCAGTCTGACACTGATACTGAGCTCATCCCCAGTGCCTAGACCTCTGTGACCAAGAGTATCTAATGTCTAGCCCTTGCTGTAGGCTACAATATCAGGTGGTGCATGAGAGCTAGAGCCGTGGTGGCGATGAGAGAGCCTTACACTCCCAGGGTTCCTGGCCTTCAGAGAGGTGGACTCTCTCGAGAGACTCAGAGAAGTTCAAAGACAACACCCACAACATTATCCTCAGGTAACTACAGAGAGAAACTTGAGAAAAGTTTGCAATTCGGTAGAAAAAGAAGAGAAAAGGTTCGTGAGATTTTCCCGTTCCACTGTACAAGTCCCCACCAACAAAACTTACAAAGAAACCTTCACAGCTATCTCTGAAGATTTACCCCTCATAAGTATCATTTCCATTGGAAAAGTGGTCACATTGTTCTCTTTGCCTGTGATAGGTCATATTGGTGGATGGAAACGGGATCCTTCATCCAAAAGGTACACGTATATATTACTGTACACATAAAGGGACTGAGTGCATTGTCATGTTTTGGGGTTGTGTTGGCATTGATGAGTGTGGTCTGCTGTGTATGTCCCCTATGTCTTGAAACATTCCCAGGGGCTTACCCTTCCTTTTAGGTCGTAATTATATGCTGTGTAATTTTGTTTGCAGCCAGCACGCTATTGCCACATACATACATACCTGTGCATTGAACTGGTACAGTGCCAGGGGTATACCCACCTTTTGGCTATTTGCAGTGATGGTGTAGTGTGAGCTGCACGTACTAATATGTACACGTAGAGAGGAAAAATCTTCATGGATTTTTCATATAGAACCGTGTGCTAAGTCTTGCCTGCAATTCTGTTTGTTGCAGGTTTGGTCTGGCCAGCACCTTGGTGTCCTGGCTGACATACCGCAGTGTTGGGGTGGGCAAGAAACTCTACCACGTGGACGGCCTCGAGAAGTGCCCTGACCACAAACAAAGAGTAAAGCCCTTCCCCATCACCTGGGTTCATTCTCTAGTGTTTGTTACTAGATCCAGACTCAGCTGAGGAAAAGAGGCGACTATTTCCACCTCATAGGAGACTCTGGCATGATCTGGGGAGCTGTACGTGAGTGAGGGCTATGTATGACACAGTCTGCCTATTGCACGTTATATCCTAGTTTTGGCATCATACATCAGGTAACTTGCAAAACAAGCAGCCAGAAATTATAATTGTAGTAGTAACAGGTTGTGAATGACAAGAACTTGGGTAAAGTTGCACAGTGGCACTTCATTGCTCCACAGTATTGCCTCGTGAAGCTGGCTTACATAATACTCTGTTGGGATTCTAAGCTGATTGTGTTTGCTCCCACAGGCTGTGCGTACGTCAGCTGAGGCCACCAACCCAGTGTATGTGTCAGTTGGCCACAAGATCTCACTGGACACTGCAGTGGGTTCTGGTCCTGGCCTGCTCCCTCAATGAGAGTCCCTGAGCCTGTCAGGGCACAGGTGCAATAGCTACTCACTGCCATGTAACCTAATTGACATGTATGTGTGTTTCTCTATAATTTCCCCATCAAGGCGGATCTGCTCTCAAGAAAATATGCTCAGGAAGAAAAGAGGGCTCATAAATGACCAGCAATTAGCTAAACACAGATAAAAAATGTGTTTCTCTTATTTTTGTATAACAGATTGGATTAGTGTGTGTATGATATAAAAAC